CAGGTTTCTCTTCCAACAGCGACGCCCGCCCCGGATTCTTCGTAAGCTCTTTCTTCTGACATCTCGAATGCTAGGCCGCCAGGCTGCTAAGCTCCTCAACTGGCATGTGGGTTTGCACGGAGGACTCCCTTGAGGCAGATCTTTCTGCTCTGCCCCTCGAGATTGAAAGTTTCAGAGTTCATTGCAATGTAGTTGTCTTTTTGAGTCTTGGTAGCAGTCCTGCTGCCGTGATGCGTAAAGCTGGCTTCTTGGCTGCACTCACTAACCTCTCGAGAGGGGACCGGGGGTGCCTGTGATGATGTCATTGCTCTCCGTGTAGTTCAGCTCGCATTCTTTGTTGGCGAGTAGTGCCCTCAAGAGCAAGTTGCACGGACGGACTGTGGGCGTGGCGCTTCTGAGCAACACTCCCGGAGTCAGGATATGTGCTCAAACATAAGTTCAGAATATGACAAGATAAATAACATCGAGATATTGCGAAACAAGACTAAGGCTGTGCGGCTTTGTAATTCTAGAAGCTGAAAACCCTTGGAGATGCTTCAACGCGCACGAGGCCTCTCGCACCCTACTGCCCACCTTGAGCCCCTCTTGTGAAGCCTTATGTCTCACAACCGAAACCTCCAGCAACATGAATAACTCAAGACATGCACTGCCAAACAGCACAACCTTCCTAACCTTGAGCCTTCAACGCTGCCTGCAGACCAAAAAATCTACAACAATAGATCCGCTCTGCCAAGCGACACGGGTGCCTCCTTTCGGCGATCGTTTGCCAACATATTTGGGATTGTCGAGTTTGGAACTTGGAACTTATGCTTCTGCGCTTCCCTCCGCGGCTCGGAAGCTTTCGGTACCCGGCGAGTAGTTCCGTGACTTCGTCACAAGCAGTTTCTGGCTGCAGCAACTTGAAGCTGGGTCTATTCGGCGCACACGCTCTGAACCCTCAAGCTCTAGGGCGCTGCAGTGTCCTGCAAGATGTCTGGAGTGGGGCCCTGGGACACGATTGTGCCCCAGCCGGTGATCCGGCAGTCCTTGGCTGCTTTGCCACTTCAGCACGTGTTCAGGGATGAGGGAGGCCTTCGGGGCAGTGAGGTTGCAGATTCAGAGAGGCCTTGGTGTACAAACAAAAACTCTGAAGCAACAGCATTATCAGATTATCAAGGTTTCCGTACTTCGACCTTCCAGTCGAGGCGCGGTCCCCGGCTCGCCGACACTGCTCGGCAGGCAGGCTGTGCCGATGCAGTCGTTGATCGGCACTGGCTTGTCTAGCCTCCAGGGGATGCTTTGGACGAAATGGAACCCTTAGGGTGCTAGACCTTCAGTCTACAGTGCAACACCGTCGTCGATCTTCCGGGACTTGCATGCAAGAGTGCTGAGAGCCACGTGTTTACTCGGCCAGGTGGCTTCAGCAATGCGAAGTCGTAGTCATGAACTACATTCTCTTCGTAGAGGGGATGCGTGAAGATCTTCCTGCCAGATTCCACACTGGGGTTGACTCCACTTCGATCGCCTCATGCGAATAGCTGTTGGGTTTCCGGGAAACTCGGGCGGCTGCACGACCCTTCAACCTGCTGGCATGGCCACGAAGCCCTGCAGTCGTTCCCGAGGCAGGCCCAAGTCCCAACGCAGAAATCCCAAGAATCTGCAGAATCCGAATGCTGAAGGTTAAGACATGTCAGGAGTTGTGCGACACAAGAACAGCGAGACACACGGTAGACCCCGAACTCTTCAAGATTGCCAGATGCCGCCGGTCTGCTTGATCCGACGCTCCTTCGTTGTCATGGAGCTACGGCTTGGAGCCCCGAGCTCAACTTTTGGGTTTCCTGCTTGAAAAGCGTTTCCGATTCGCAGGGTCTCAGGTCCGGTGAAGAGCTCGAGGTTCTCGGCTGGAGGCCTAGCATTTGCAAAAGCCTGAAGAACCAATAAAGCTATCCTCGTAGCCAGAGATCGGTGCGAGTTCTTCGGTGTCTTGCAGTCAACCAAGAGAAGTCGAAATCCCTGCCGTGACCGTATCACTGCCCGTCTAAGGCTCCACAGAGGAGTCGCTCTCGTCCGCGTTCTCCCCCCGCTCCCACTTGCCGGCACCTATCCGCAGGTTGCGCACCTTAGCCCCCAAGGCACTTTGAAGGATTGTCAGAAGATGGAAGGACGTGGAAGGTTTCGGGTCCAAGTAGATGTGCGGCTTCGGTTCGGTGTAAACTTGCCGAGACTCGCCCTGGATAAAAGCAAGGGGTAAGGTGCAGGAGCCACAGCGCACACATGTCACTGGGCAGAGCTGTCGCTAAGCCCCGGAGCTTTGCGGGGGCTCGTGTGAGAAATGTCGCTGACTCTACTCTTGCATGACTGAGTGCAAGCATTAAGGCTTCTTGCCCTTGTTCTATGCCAGTCTGCAACAGCAACAGCGAAGGCGACGACGACAACCACCTCTGCCACCACCACGGCGGCACTGTCACCACCACCACCACCCCCTAATAGTCATTTTTACCGCTGCTGGTATGGCTGATCCATGCTGATCTGATTACAAGCACCCTCGACGATGACGGCAACGGTGACGGCGACGGCTGTACGATGACTACAGCTACAACGACTACGAAATAGTACTAACTATACTTACTACCACCAGCAATAAGAGCAGCAGCATCACCAACAATAAGGACCACGAGCTGAAAGGTGCAGAAAGAGCCTTGACGACAGTACCCAAAAAAAAGCCCTACAGGGTGCGAAAAAAAAACCAGCCCCCACAAGCTCTACCACTGTTGATTTCGATAACGGAAGCGGCCGATGCGAGAATCCATACTTTTGCTACTCCTTTGGTCGATGCAGCTGAACCAATGATGTTGGCTGAGGGCTCTGGCTTCAGTTTCGATCATTTGTTGAGTTGGGTGTTGTCTATTGAAGTCGGGTTTTGAGCTCAGGCTTCCGGACTTGGCACGGGTTCAAGCTTCAACAAGTCTATAGCCCCTACTAGCACAACGCGGGACTTGCCTGGCAGGTGCTCCGCACGTCCATGACGCAGTGTGCTGCAGTCAAAACCCATTCAGGAGTGATCAGCGTGCCACCGCAAAAGGGACCACCTTGATTGTGCCAAAGAGCAGAGGTGCATGCAGTCATGCTCGACCAAAAAAGCCTATCCACCTTGGCGAGGCGACGTAACAAATCACATGGTGGAGTTTTACAAACACCTGCCCTTGCCTCTGAAGTCAACATCGCAAAAACACAACCATCACCTCCTGATTCATGACGATGGGAACCTGTATTGAAAGCCCGATTAAGCCAACTTTTAACACATTATTCAGGCACGATTTAACCCAGCTGTTCACATCTGAGCAGCTCTTTGAACCTCCCAGGCCAACTTGCCATCGCCAGACACACTGGGAGGCATCCTCTCAAGGGGTCAGGCTTGAAGCTTCCTTGATTGAGGCACGGCTGAAAATATTTGTTCGTGGACGGTGGAGAGGTCGAGATGGGAATAATCGGGTCAACTCGGCAGCATTTGAGGCCTCTCTCCCCCACCTGACCACTCATTGTAGACAACGCTCGCCATTACCATCTAGTCATCAGCGTGTCCCGCGTTCAACTGAGGTGGCACGCCGTCAAATCGAAGACATAAGATCAAAATGAAACCTACACCCTGAAAGATCCGTCAATTCAATAAACCTGGACCCCAACCCCAAATTTTTTAATCACACCTGCCCTTTGAAACCACTCCTTGCCGTGCACGATTCGCTTTGTGCTGGACTCGGAGCTTTTGCCCTTTCCACGGCCCAGAACGCCACACTGTTGGAGGTCCTGCGTCTGGGAGGGTCGAGGGTCTAGCTCATAACGTGCTTTCCCAATGATATCACGCAGAATCCTCCGTATCTTGAGCACGACTTTGTGTGCGAGTCGAAATAAACTGAACAAGGCCTGACCAATCTACACACGTCTGAGTCTAGCCAGCTGTCCACTAGCTGTTCCTGCTGTTTCGACTGCGCTTGGAGAATTCAGACCGGCTTTCAAGATGATTTCTGCGCCACACACCATCCCGTGCGCGATGCGACCATCAGCGCCATCATCCCAGGCAGTGCTCTGTCACGTCTAGGCTTAACAGCAATACTAGTATCTTCTACCTGTATCTGCATCTGTATCTCTGTATCTATATCTTTATCGTTTTTCGTATGCTTCTATTCAAAACCTGCACATGCCCATACCCGACTTCGCAACTTGAGGAGCACAACCCTCAAACCTACACACCGACACCATTATCAGGGCCAACAGCCCAACCAATTCCCGAAAGAGTCCCCGAAGCTCTGTCTCGGCGTTGGCATTGACGGGGCATGCTTCGAGATCTATGGCCCAAAATGGAATAAGCCCTGGGCGGTCGGCGGGTCCTCTTTCCTAAGGCTTGCGTCTACCTCGCCACCACGCAGATTGGCTCTTTGAACTGTTGGCTCCGCAGCTATGCTCCCGAACCAGGCGGCCAGAATTGCAGAAACCAGCATGATCAATCGGCCGCGCAGTGAAAAGAGGATGGAACACAGCAAACTGGAGCCGGAAAGGCAGCAGTGGGGTGCTAGGATCATGAGGCACGGAACGGAAGGCCGGGATGGAAGTTCGAAACTTCGCAATACTGCGTGATTAGCGGAAGTATGAGCCTGTTTTTTTCGAAGCCAAGACCAGCTCCCAAAGCCGAGCCCTGACTTGAAAGTTGCAGCCCCTCTTGCCTTCAGGAAATATGGGAGCGAAAGTTCAATGGGTTCCCACGGCGTCGGGCGGGGGGCTTTGCAAAAGCTTCAAAGCGTCTTCGATCCTTTGGGTTTTCAACCATGCCAGCCAGACTGCAGTGTAGCGTTGCGCACGTGCTTGCCAAGCCGACGTCTCGCACTCCACGACCCGGCTCTCGATCGCAAGAAAAACATCTAACCCCGAGCTAGTGATGCAGCTCCATACATCCCGAAATCAAAACCATAAGACTTCAACTAGCCAAGAAGATCAAGATACCTACCCGTGAGCTCTGAGGATCATGC